GTCTGAAACCAGCTCCGCTCCAAACTCTCATTCGTAGTTTCTTCTTTTCCTACCTCTAACTGCTTCTTTGCCCTATTGATCTGAGACAATTCAGGCAAGAAGTAAGCTCATAGTTATCAAGGAATACGTACGTCTTCCAAGGAAGATACATTTCCCAGCTAAAGTACACTAGGGTAATCTTCTTATACACTACTATCTACTCCAGATTAACATCCTGAAGACACCTTACCTGAGCCTCTGACTGCTGCATCTCACGTTCCTCACGCTCCAAGCACAGTACTGCATACACATCTTTCTCTAGATTCTCAATCCTCTCTCGAAATTTTAGTATGACGTCTGAAAGATATCCAGTGTGAGTAACATCAAAAGCAGCCCACACAAGGTCTGCTTGTTCAGCACCATTTAGTAGCCCTTCTCTGCATAGTGACCCTCCCTGTCTGCTGCTCTCCTTTTTACCTCAGTGAAGTTCATACCTTGGGGGAGAATCCTGGCTTTCACTGGTGTTTTGGCAGACTTCACAATATCCTTCAGCATCTTGCGCTCTTCCTCACCCACAAGTGAAACTGAACGACCAGCCCTGCCTGCTCTTGCTGTTCGACCCACTCGATGAACATAGTGTTTGGTGGTATTAGGCATGGTGAAATTGATTACCTAGAAAATCAAGTGTTAGTAGGGTAACTATATTAAAGGACTCATTAAAAAGATTAACAGCATAAATACTCACTGTTTTTACACCTTCAATGTCAAGTCCACGTGCAGCCACATCTGTAGCTACCAAAATATCAATCTGCTCATCTTTAAAACGCCTGAGCAAAGATAGCAAGTATATCAGCAATGAATACAGAAATTCACTTCTGCCCTAAAACTTCCAACTTCTGATTTTTATCCTGTGATGGCTGGCTAAGCCTGGTAATACCTGAGTGCTTCCAGCCGCTGTGCCTGAGAGAGGTTTCCATGAAGCTCCCCAACCCGTAAACCCATCAACCCAAGCAGGATGTGCATACGGTGAGCTTGCTTCTTTGTCTGGGTGAAAAGCATCACATGATCCGTGAAGGTCCGTGTCAGTAGAGCTGAAAGAAAGTCCTCTCAGCAGCCTGCTTCACAGTTACTTACTGATTCCATCTTTTCCTTCCTCATCACTCACCTGATACAATGGCCTCACGGTCCCCCTCTCGGTTGGGTCTAATCCGGATAAATTCCTGCCTCAGGAAAGGGGCAACATCTGTATTGCTGTTCACAAAAATTCGTGTGGGATTTTTCAGGGAAACTGAAGCCAAATCTTTCACCTACCAAAACAGGTTAATAAAAAGAAGTCCACATACTTTCTGGTAAAGGATTTAACAAAGAACTATCTATTAAACTGTCTGCCTGAATGTGATTCCCAGCAGCCTGTTTTACCTCCTCTGTCATTGTGGCAGAGAAAAGCATTGTTTGGCGGTGGTTGGAGCATAACCTGATTATTTCCTTCATCTGTTCCTCAAAGTACTCATCCAGCATCCTACACAGGAAAAACACATTTATATAGTTCTAGCTAAGAACCATTACATAAGGCAGAGCAACAAAGATTGTCCTACCCTGGGAAACAGAGAGGAGGCAGCTGCCACCCCATTTTTCATTGTTGTTCTGCCTAGTTTACCTGTCTGCCTCATCCAAAATGAGCACCTCTACACTGGTCAGATGGAAGGAGGGGCAGTTGTGGAGATGATCAATTAGTCGTCCAGGAGTTGCAATAAGAATGTCTGGCCCAGAGCGCAGAGCTGCTTCCTGAGTCTTCACATCTAGGCCACCTGAAAGAGAGCAAACATGGGCTGCTGACTTCCTGAGCAGGTTGCAACAAAGTACACATTTCCAAACTGCCTGAGGAATGGGAAACAATGCAGATTAATACCACGTTCGCAATTAGAAATGACCCTATCTTTCCATTTTTATTAAAAAGTAAGAAAAAAAAAGCATACTACATAGTATTGGAAAGTAAGATTTTAAACTACAAGCACACCTACTAAAAGCATGTCTGCAATAACTCTAAGTATCCAGGTTTAGAACACAGGATTTCCAGTTCTGTATAGTGTTTACAGTGACCTGTGCAATTCACATAAGCAACAATACACACCTACAGCAAGGCAAGTTGTGACGCTGCTGAATTGTGCCAGCTGTTTTGTAACAGAATGCACCTGAATACCCAGTTCTCGTGTTGGCACTAGAACCAACACCCGTGTAACTGGAGCTTGACGAGGTTTGTATATCAGGCGCTCAAGTACAGGCAAGATGAAGGCAGCTGTTTTACCTATAAAAGGAAAATAAGATGAATTATCAAGAATTACCAATTATTGTGAATACTCTGAACTCCCCATGTTCTGTATGCTCTGCTCTAGTCCCTACCTGTCCCAGTGGCAGCACAGGCACAAATATCCTTCCCCAGAAGACCCACAGGGATACACGCTTTCTGAATTGGAGTTGGTTGCTTGAAACCAAGAGCTGTGATTGCCTTCAAAGGAGATAAAGCAGTTAAACACTGTCTCTACTCAGCTCTGTCAAAGCCACACCTGGAGTGCAGTGTCAATTCTAGGACCTCCACTACAAGAGACATGAACATACTGGAAAGAGTTCCAACAAAGGGCCACAAAAAAGGACTGGAGTATCTCATATAAGTAAAGACTGAGAGAGCTGGGGCTGTTCAGCCTGGTTAAGAGTACTCAAGGAGACCTTATCAATGTATCACCCCTGAAGTGAGCATATAAAGAAGACTGAGCCAGACTCTTTCCAGTGGTGCCCACTGACAGGATAAAAAGGCAACAGGAGCAAACTGAAAGACGGGAGGTTCTGCCCAAACACCAGGAAACATTTTTTAACATGGTGGTGGCTGACCGCTGCAACAAGTTGCCCAGAAGAGTTTGTGGAGTCTCCATACTTGGTGATATTTAAAAGTTATCTGGACGTGGTCCTGGGCAACTTGTTCTAGGTGTCCTTGCTTAAGATGAGAGGGTTGGACAAGACAACCTCCACAGGTCCTTTTTGAAGTCAGACATTTTATGATTTTGCTACAAGTCTCACTCAAGACAACATTTACATATATTGCATATCAAAGAATGTGTTCTGTTATTTGGAAAAAAACAACTCCTAAAGGGTTATCACCCCTCCATCTCCAATTACTTTTTCAGAGAGGCTGCAAAGAGAGAAGGAATTTGATGGTTCTGAGAGGTGGAAGGGAGGCTGTCCAACATTCCTCACAATAACATATGTAGCAACCAAACTAGATAGATACCTTTAGCAAAGGTCGTGAAAGATTCATGTCCTGGAATGACAAGTTATCATCATATTGAGAGGCATCTTCAAAAAAGCTCTCTGCTTCCTAGAAACAGCAACAACAAAACCGCAATGCTATAGACAGCAACACAGCAGGTGACCAAAGGGCTCTGGGATGTTTTATGACCTACAGTTTGTTAACAAAAGTCAAATGCCTCCAGAAATAATACTGGAGAATGATGTAGTGTCATTCTCTCCAACACTTACTGCTTTTCCTCCAGTTTTTCGTCTCTTTCTTTCCTTCACTTTAATTGTGTCTGCAGAGAAAAAGAAACACAACAGGAATTAATAAGCACAGCTAAATACATAATAAGATATAGCATGTACCCTCACCTTGTACTGCTAATAATACTGCTAATGAGGTATTGATGGAAAAGCCTCAGAAACAAATATAGGCAAGGAGATCTCCTTCCTCAATGATCACTCCAAATAAAATACCACTGCTACCATTCAAAATAAATTTGACCAAAGTCAGAAGGAACATCACAGAGGTCTGCAGACAAAACATCACAACGTAAGAAATTCTTGTCCCCACTCACCAAGACTTCACTGAAGACTAAAGACTTTTCTCCAGTGAGTCAACAGTCTGTCACATTCTTACTTCTGACCATCTTTTCATGTACTAGTAGTACCTGCTTTTGTGAGGATAGTTTCATCATCCAATGAATACTGGGACTCCACATCTTCTTCTTCCCTACTGAAATCTTCACTCCCTGTTTTTTTGGATTGATTATCCCCAGCCTCTGCATCACCATCTTTCACTTTTGCTTGTTTAGTTTCTCTTTCCTGTGCCGAAATACAAAGTAGTTTAGAAGAACTTCAATTCTTTGTGAGCTTTTTTTTTGGTTTGTTTGCTTTGTTATGAGCCCACTCACAGATCCAGGGTTTTGCATAACCTTAACCGTTAACGATTCTACATTCTCATCAGTACACCGATGCATCATGTATAGCTGAACACCCAGCTGAGGTATTAAGCTCCAGCTTGAGCACTGTAACTCTGGTTGCTTTCAGAGCCTCTGCCTCTGAAAAGGACACAGCGTACGACCAAACTCATACGAGTCTTTACAGTAATAAGCATCACTAGGAGAAAGGCCCTGACCTGGAACTTCCTTTTTTGTCTCACTTTCTCAATCTTCTCGTCCAGCGTCGTGGCTGATCTCTAGACAGGAAAACAAAAGAAAGGAGCTGTAAGAGGAGCCCGGAAGAACACACGACAATGTGACTGCGGGCACTGCAGCCCTAGGACCGGCCGCTGGGCCTCACCTTGCCACGAAGTTGGCGCAGAGCTGACGCCCAGGTACCTTCCCCACCGGCCTCCACCTCGCCGAAGACGAAAGCAGCGCTGAAGTCTCCTCTCGCGGAGGCCCGCCGCCCGGGGCCAAGAGCCACGCGCGGCCCCTACAACAACACCGCTGAGCAACGACCGCGGGAAGCCAGGCCGAAGCGAAGCGGCCCTGCCCCTGCTCTCAGCCCCCTGCGATCCAGCCCGGCCCAATCCAACTCGCCGCGGCCCCGCCCTGCCCCTGCGCCGGCGCAGTCCGGCCAGCGCTCACCTCCTCGTCCTCAGAGTCCTCGGACTCGGGGTCCTCGGGCCCCTCATCCCCCTCCGCGATGGTGCCCACCAGGCCCAGGCTCTGCAGCATGGCCGCCACCCCGCCCCCGTTCGCGCAGCGCCACGCGGTCCTGCAGCAGCGCGTGCGCGGAGCCGGCCCGACCTTGGGGCGGGGCCATGGCTGCCACCGCCCCGCCCCGCCCCTCGCCGCCCCGCCCCTCGCCGCCCCGCCTCGCGGAAGGGAAAGCGAAAGCGGCGGCGGCGGCGGCCGGGGAGGGCGAGTGGTGCGAGGGGCCCGGCGGCATCGGGGCGATTTTTGCCGGTGTTGTGGGGGGCAGGACGTAGGGGCTGTCTGCTGGGGGAAGGGGCTCGGTATCGGGGAAGGGGCTCGGTGTCGGGGAAGGGGCCGCTGCCCGCTGGGGACGGAGGGGGGGAGCCGGTACGGGGCGGCGGCGGCGGCGGGAGGGCGCTGCCTCGGGGGACGAGGGACGGGGGACGGGGGACGGGGGACGGGGGACGGGGGACGAGGGACGGGGGACGGGGGACGGGGGACGGGGGACGGGGGACGAGGGGACGAGGGACGAGGGACGGGGGACGGGGGACGGGGCGCTGTGAGGGTCTGCCTCGGTGCTGGTGCCCCGCGCCGCCCCTGGGCGTGCTCGGTCCGGGGATGCGGGGCGGGCCCTGCGGGGAACTGGAAAGCGAAACTCGGCGGCGGTGGCGCGGGCGGGGCCGTGGCTCCCCTGGCGTGAGGGGCACCGAGCCGAGCCGCACCGAGCACTGAGCAACGTCCTCGTCCCGCAGAGCCGCGACGCCCCGCAGAGGAGCCAGCGGCCGGAGCGATGGAGGGGGCCGGGCAGGGGCCTGGCCTCCGGCTGCCCCGAGCGGGACGGAGAGGTGAGGGTCGCCCGGCTGCCGCAGAGCTAAGGCTGCGTGTGGGCTGGGGGTGGTGCGGGGGGAAATGCTCCTTCCCTGCCTGCGCGCAGTGCAGCTTCCTCTCGGCTGCACGCTACTGTGTTTACTTAATTATCCAGCCTCTCACTGGAGCCCACAAAGCAACGATGTACTGCAGCGGTCTCTCTGCTAACTGATACTGCTAGTGGTCAGTGCCCTTCGAGCGTTCTGCTGAGCGTGCGAGGAAGGCTACGCAGCCTATGCTTCCTGCTACTGCGACAGGCTGGGTCTTGTGCAGAAGGTTGTGTTTTAACTGTGCGATTCGAAGTCATCTGCTACTGCCTTGGTAGTCATGTCAAAGACAGCTAACTCTCAAGGAAAGCCTGTCCCATGTAGGATACATCATCATTGGCCTCCCTTAATTCTGCTTTGTGGAAAAGGGTTTATTTTCTCAGTGACTTCCCAGCTTCACAACTGGAGTGGGCTCTAGGTATGGTACTCTTTAGCAGTCATGAAAAGGATTATAAGGGAAATACTGAGGGTCTGGATATAAGTGAAATGCTAGTTTTCTAATGTGGTGCAAGACGCGCAAAATATGCTGATAAGCAGGCCAAAATACTTATACTCTCATGTTGGGAGGCAGGTTAATATGGTCATTATAATTAACAAATGTCTTTTTTTTTTCTTTTTTTTTTCTTTTAAGGGCATGCAGGTCGCTGGGATACTGGGTTTATACAACAAGGGAGAAACAGAATAAACAATGTGTCAGGCCAGACTCATAAAACAGTAGCTCAGGCAGGGGAAAATCCCCAAGCCAGTAATTATACTCTTCTACTTGGGCAAAGAGAAGAGAGATCTGAATATTTCTTCAGTCAAGGAAGAAGAAACCAAGGTGGACAAACCAACAGTGGAGCCACAGGACATTGGAATGAACAGGAGAATGAGGGGAGAGGAAAGTGGTATCGAGGTGGACAAACACATGAGAGGGCCAGAGGACCCTGGAATGAGCAAGAAAATGAGGGTAGAAGAAGGAGGTATCAAGGTGGACAAGCATATGATAGAGACAGAGGACTCTGGAACGAACAAGATAATGAAGGTAGGGTAAGGAGATATCAAGGTGGACGGGCATGTGAGAAGGCCGGGGGACCCTGGAACATGCAAGAAAATGAGGTTAGGGGAAGGCGCTATCACAGTGGACAAGCACTATCTGGACAAGCCCAGGAAGATGCTAGAGGGCTGAGGAATGGACAGGAAAATGAAGGGAAAGGAAGGAGCATACAACTCAGGAGGAGTATGCACTTCTACCAGAAACCTACCCCAGGTGGTGCTCAGCTCAGTGAGCAGCCTCAGCTCAGTGAGCAGCCTCAGCAAGTCAAAAAGATTGGCTACAAATTCCTAGAAGGTCTCCTACAGAAAGACCCTTCTGAAGTTGTCATCACACTTGCCTCAAGTTCAGGTTTGAAGGAACTTCTTTCCCAAACCGCTATGAAACCCAGTTTCGTTCAGCTCATTTGTCAGGTGCTTCGAAAAGCATGCAGCTCCCGAATGGATAGACAAAGTGTTCAGCAACTTCTTGGAGTGGTGAAGGAGTCCAACTTTCTCAAGATCTGTCTGCCACAGTATGTGTCTGACATGGTAACAGAAGCAGTTCCTGCTGTCCGACATCAGTATCCTGAACATATTGGCAACATCATTTTGCTGCTTCAGGACCTAATCAGTATTTTCCCAGCTAGTTCTGTGCAGAAAATCTCCATTCTCTTAACAGTCTTGCCAGCATCCATAAATGCCTTGCGAGCTTCTGGTGTGGACATCACGGAAGAAACAGAGAAGAACCTAAATAAAGTCCAGATGCTTGTGCAGCACCTGCAAGAGAAGAGACGTGAAGGCACACTGAGGGCTGATAACTATACTCTTATGCAGCCTCAGGCTGACGGTCAAGAAGAAACCTATCGTACAATGACCATTTATCCAACATATAATGAGGTACACCATGATGAGAAACCCTTTCTACGTCCCAATATTGTTTCCGGAAGATATGAGAGCACCAGCATTTATCTTGACACTCATTTCCGGCTTTTGAGGGAAGACTTTGTAAGGCCTTTAAGGGAGGGTATCTCAGAACTTTTGCAGAGCTTTGAGGACAAAGGTTTGAGGAAGAAAAAATTTGATGATATCAGGATCTACTTTGACACACGGATTATTGCCCCACTCTGCTCCCCAACTGGTGTCGTTTACAAGGTTCAGTTTGACACAAAGCCATTGAAGTTTGTGCGATGGCAGAACTCCAGACGTTTGCTATATGGATCCCTGGTCTGCATGTCTAAAGATCACTTTGAAACATGCCTGTTTGCCACTGTTTCTAATCGGGATAGTACAGATCTTGCCAAGGGAATTGTAGAGCTATGTTTTAATGCACAGAGCCAAGCACTGCTGGCAGAGGTTCGTCCCTCAGACTCCTTCCTCATGGTAGAGACAACTGCCTACTTTGAGGCATATCGGCATGTGTTAGAAGGGTTACAGGAAATCCAGGAGGAAGATATCCCGTTCCAGAAGTACATTGTGGAATGTGATGCACAGGTGAAGGAGCCAAAGTACCTTACAGTGGATACTACATACAACTTTGCACCCTTGACAGAAGATCCCCTGGCAGATGAAGAGAGAGCTCCTGATGGTCTGAGAAGGCAAAGTGTCCGTGTTCTAGATCACAACCAGTGGCCTTCAATGGAAACCTTGGGACTAGATGAGTCCCAGATGGAGGCATTGAGACTTGCACTCACCAAGGAGCTGGCTATTATCCAAGGACCCCCTGGGACTGGTGAGAAACATTTGCTTTAAGTCTCTGTCATTTAAGGAGTTCTCCTTAACTTCCTCATTTAGGGAGATTGTCTCCAGAAAAAGCCAGCTGCCCTGTGTCCAGAGCTTTAGTTCAATGCCTATTTGATGCTTGAGAAGCCCAGTTATTGTGAGCTGCGGGGAAGAAGGTTAAAATATTCTGAAATACCCATATGAAAATGTTTTCAACTATTTGATGCCACGGTACCTCTTCAACTATTTGATACCATGGTACCTCTTGCTGCGCAACAGCTCTATTAACCTTTTTAGCAGGTTTGAACACTAAGAATGTTCAGCCCTGATCCTCTGCATGAAGAAAGAATTGCTAGACTAATGGTAATTAATTTAAGTGGTACCTGAATTCAGTAAGCACCACGGCTTGTCTTCTACTAGTACATGAGTGTTTTATGTAAAGCCAATTGTCGTGTGTTAAGCTAGCTTCAGTGGCTTGGGAGAAGCAGTGGCAGGAAGAACCCTGCATACAGGGATGGATTACCCTTTTCTGATTCAGATCTTGTTTTACAGGGAAGACTTATGTGGGTTTGAAGATTGTCCAGGCTCTCTTGACCAATAAGAATGTGTGGCAAACGACTGTCCAGAATTCTCCCATCCTTGTAGTCTGTTACACTAACCATGCGCTGGATCAGTTCTTAGAAGGTGAGAGTATCTAGCAAGTATGATGGAACGGAGGGTAGAAATTATACTGTAACTCTTACTCTGTCCTACCTTTTGTCATGAAGACTTGCCCTTTTGGCTCTTTCTTGTGATTTTAGCCACATATATACATAGTAATAAAACTTCAGACAGACCAGTCCAGTGTGTTGTGTGCAAAGACTGTTCTCCCTACCCTTTATCAGGCTGCACAAAATAGTTAGCCTCTTTACCACTAATATTTCTTTCTCATTCACAGGAATATACACATTCCAAAAACACGGGATGGTACGTGTTGGGGGGAGAAGTAGCAGTGAGGTCTTGAAGCAATTCACCTTGAGGGAGCTGAGGAAGAAGTGTGAGTTCCGACACAACTTGCCAATGCATCTCCGCAGAGCCTATGTGAATGTATGTATAGAGTTCACTGGAAAAGACTGGGTTACCTGTCCATTGGAGAAGCTAACTAAACTTCTTCCAGATCTGTTCTTTCACATTGTCTTACACTGACGTCAAACCTTTAATTCTTCTTTGTTCACAGTATCATAACTTTTTTTGTTCTGCTGTTTCTGAACTCTGTTCTTCTGCATATGTCTTCTCTCTATTATGAGCAGATAACCAGTCAGATGAAGCAGGCTGAGGAGGAGCTCCATAAAGGAGCAAAGCACTTAGAGTGCACAACACATGGAGTGCTGCATGAACGTCACTTGGAAGCATGCATTGCCCCCCAGCACTGGGACAGTCTGATGAAGGGTCTGGTAAGAGAGGTTCCCTTCTTATGAGTCAAGCAGTCCCCAAGTATACTTACTGCCCTTTCTGAAAATGTGTCTGAGCTTCCCCCAGATATACTTCCTTTAGCCTCACTCAACCACTGGAAAAGAAAAGGAGTGAATAGCAAGCTGTGCCAGTGACAGGAAAGCAGAGTTAAATTTTGCTCCTTTAAACTGCAGAGATTTCAAGTGATCTTTGTCAGAGTAAAAATACAAGTGCACAAATGAAAGCCTTAACCTGAAGGAGAGATGCTATTTCTAGAGATCTGAGGTTGCCTAGACTTCTTGGCTCTGGAGGTCACTTGGTGGACTTGTCCTAATCGTCTTATGCTTCAGGGCGCTGCTTTGTCATCATCCTAAGACTGATGAGGCTAACTGATCTGACTCTTTATATTAGGATCATGAGGAATTCTACTACAGTGCTGCACAACACTCAGTGATTCTGGAGTGGCTGGGCCTTGGTGTAACTGTTTTTACCCAGAGTGCTGCAGAGGATATAGAGGCTGAGAATCCAGGTAAAAAAAACAAAAACAAAAACCATCTTCTGTAGGCATTTGCCTAAGCAGTGTATGCATGCCAGAAAATAGACACTGCTACTGAACAGAGGCTGAAAGATGCATAACGCTGTAAGGCAATGGAAAGATTAACTTTAGTTTCTACACGGTGATCTGCTGCACTGTGATTCTGCTAGAGTGGCTATGACTTGCTGCATGTAATTGGTGACTCTTCATAGGTGGTCAGCAGGAGAGAGAGGAGGAGCAGGAAGGTGAGGCAGAAGAGCTGTTGGAGATTCCAGAGGAGGCTGACCTGATTCAGGCTGACAGAGTGATTGAGGATGAAGAGGCAGCAAAGCCTCAGAAGAGGAAGGAGGAAGAGCACAGGGCTGTTCGTGAGCTAGCCAGTGTGTTGTTGGCTATGAAGCTGGAGAACGAAGAAGAAGGAACAGCCCAGCCACAACAGAAGACTGTGCAGTGGGAGGTAACTGTATACACTAGTATACTGTGTCTCTGCTTGATTGTGTAATAACATGGGCATGCTAATACAGAATAATCTTTGTGTTTTAACTGCTTATTTTGGGGTGGGGGCCTATTTCCCTCCCTCCCCCCTTCTCTCTAGATAACTGCTACCCAGAGGAAGAAAATGAAACAGAAGATGAGGGTTGAGCTCTGTAAACTGAGTGCAATGACGGAGTTAGAGGCCAAATCTATTCAGGATCTGTGGCAACTAGACCTGAGCTCTCGCTGGAGGCTTTACAGGTGACAAATATGTTTTACAGGGTCTGTCAAGCAAATGTGTCATAAGACTGTTAGAGTTCACAAACTCCTAGCAAGCTGAGGTATTTCTGTCCATACCTGTTCAGTTCATTATCTGAACATGTTTTCCTGTAAGATATTTGCTTTTATCCTGCCTACATTGGCAGGACAATGCTGTCATCTCCACTGTGTGTGTTGGGGACTGAGTAAAGATGCTAGTCATCTCTTGCAGAAAAAGCACGGAAGTTCTGAACTGAACCCACCCAAAACTTCTAGGTCACTGTGCTGCTTCTCTTGCTGTGTGTGGTAACAGCTCTTTCTTCTCAGGCTTTGGCTGCAGACCTATCAGGGGTTTATACGAAGGAGGATTCTTCAGCATGAACAGCAGTACCAGGCAGCAGCAGAAAGGCTAGCAGAACTAAGGCTGCAAGAAGATCTGTGCATTCTCAAGGAGGCTAAAGTTGTGGGGATGACGACTACAGGTGTGCAGCAGTTGGGATGCAAACCAGCATTGCACTGTCTCCATTAGTAATTACCATTTAGTAATGACTAAAAGACCTTATTGTCAAAAGATTAATATTCTGTGCTGCTTGACAGCCTGGGTCAGGCTCCATGTTAGTTTGCAGCCTTCTTCATTTCTGACTCCCTCTGCGAACGTGTCTATGACACAAAGTTGTCAGTTGGCTGCACAAGCATTTTCTGCACACTTTTGAGCAACATTATTTTAATAGTAATGCTCCATTTCTTGTGCCTCAGTTAAACACAGTTCATGTCTCTGATATCTCCACATCACTTTTTGGTGAGCAGAGGCAGCATAAGTCTTGTAATATCACCCTTTGGGAAGACAGTTTTGGGTTTTTATGTATGGTGATCGATGTGTTCTGGATGTATTTCATGTCTGAAGAGAGAGTTAGGAAAGGGCCAAGGCAGGTGTGGCATTCTAATCCCCACCTCTCTTTCCTGACTTCTCTGCATATAGAAGTCATCCTTGGAACAGTGCTGTTTTAAAGTCCACATTCCACAAGACTCAGCATTTTGGAATCACGGGAATTTTCTGGAACATACCTTATACCTTCCTAAAAACTCTTATCATACCGCCTGCACGTAACTATACCTGTTAAGACTTATCTTCTCTCCTTTCTCAGGTGCTGCCAAATACCGTCAGATCTTGCAAAAAGTAGAGCCAAGAATTGTAATTGTAGAAGAGGCAGCAGAGGTGCTTGAGGCTCACACTATTACTACTCTTAGTAAAGCTTGCCAGCATCTCATTCTCATTGGAGATCACCAGCAGGTAATATCCATGGCAGATGCCTCTAACTGTTGTGCAAATAAATTAGAATACTTTAACCAAACATGTTTGGCAAACACCAAAACTTACTGCTTCTCAGTTTCCATGGATACCACGGGTCTTGTCTCCTTTGATTATGGAGCAGAGTTACTGGGGGACTTTTCTTTTTAGTTTAACTGACACAACTTGACATGTGCTCCAATCCACTTCAGTTATGACAGTACATAACTTTGTTAGTTAGCACTTCTGCAAGAATCCAGTCTCTGGCCTTTCTGTTGAGAAAAGCCCAGCAATAGGAAAAATAGATAAGTGAAATCTTACTAATAGGTAAGAGTGCTGTTAAAATGGACCCAATCCCTTCTCGTTCAGCTGCAGCCTAGTGCTAATGTATATGACCTGGCGAAGAACTTCAATCTGGAAGTGTCTCTATTTGAACGGCTGGTGAAAGTTGATTTCCCCTTTGTCCGGCTGAAATACCAAGTAAGGAACAGCTATAAAACATTTCCTTATTGCATTTGTACTTAGCTTGCTTTAAGTTTATAGTACATCTAAGGCTGCTCTGTGAGCAGAAATATAAAAGCTAAAATAATGTGTTACTTTGTTCCTGAAAGGAATGGTAAGAACTGTCAAACTGTCACAAATGGTATACTATTGTTCAACTAAGTGTCTTATTCGTCAGTGATGTGACCCACAGCACTGTGGTTCCCACAATTTTTAGTGCAGAGAATGTAACTTATTGTGGCATCCAAAGCTGTTCTAGAACTGTGGAGACAGAATCTTTTTGAGTTGCCTCCTGTTAAATTGTTGCAGCCATATTTGTTGGTGTCTGGAGAAATTAATTCTACCCCCAGAAGTCCTGTATTAAAATTGCCTGGAACAGCTGGTTAGGGGTTAGGGTGAGGTGCTGGCTTTTGTTACTAGAATGCTGTTGTTGTTAGATTTGCACTGAAACCAGTATTCTTATTACAACCCTGCAAAATGACTTTATTGAAGGTACTCTGATACCATTTAGCTGTGATTGCTGGTGGTGGTGGCAGCAAGGGTGAGATAGGAGGCACTCTATTCTTGGCTTGTCTTCACCCTTGTCTTGTATTTAGCTATGGTCTATACAGTGGAAAAACAGATTATTGGCAGGGAAATCAGGTGCTCCTTCCTCAAGACTGATGCAGCTGCTTTGTGTTTCAGCACCGCATGCGTCCTGAAATTGCCCAGCTTCTCAGTCCTCATATATACCAGGAACTGGAAAACCATCCCTCTGTCTTGAAGTATGAGAACATAAAAGTGAGTTTTCGGTAGCGCAAGCACTTTCTCTTGCCCCTGTTACTGGCTAAAATAAGTTACCGTAAAATGTAGTGTTAAAAGATTCCTACTTCTAAATCAAGTTCATCTACTGAAATAGATGAAGGAGATGTGGGATATAGAAATAGGCAAGTAATTTGTAGCTCTTCTGGTATTGCTGATGGCAGACACTGGAAATGGATCCAATATTGATGATTATAAAAGAACAGTGAAATATGGAAGAAGGACCAAAAGAATTGCAGGAGATTGAAACCTAGGAGTAAATCTTAAATGAGACACTTGAGGCATAATTTATGAAACTCCAGTGTAAGACAGGTGACTTCGCTACTGGAATCTTCCTTCCCTGAGTTCTTTGTTTGGGCATTTTACCAATACACAGCATCTGCAAGCAAGATCTATGCAGTATAAAAGTATAAAGCAATCTTTTATCAATTAACATGCATAACAAGCATCTAGAATTTGATGAACTGAAAGCATTAGTATGCTTGCCACACCATAAGACACTTGAAGAGTCTTTGCTGTTGTCAGGTAGGCATCAGTCAGCAGGGTCAGCCTCTGCTTCTTCCTTAATATTATTGTTTTTATCTTTCACTAATTCCCTTTCTTCTGAGTTTTATTTTTCCCCATCCTAATTACGACTTCATATCTTCCCATGTTAGTGCTTTTATTCCATCTTTGAACTATTGTTAATTGTATCACTGTCTATAACTTTACCTTTCTTATCTTGCATAGCCCTGTTCTGTAGGCTTGTTTCCAATACTGTTGTAACTAGCTTCCTCAGAAGTCTGAGCCAAAGTTACACTGTTCTGCTGTATCAGAGTTAGGCTTTAACTTCCTGAAATAAGTGACTGGATACCTTTGGAAACATAATTTGATGTGGTTATAGAGAAGATTACAGTAGCTTAGCCTACCTGCATCTTTCATAATGAGAAGACATTACTAGTTATTTTAAAGCATGTTTTTTGCTAGTCAGTTTTAGACATGTGCTAAGCTCTGTGCACTGCTAACTCCCTATGTTTTCTCCACGTGTTCCAAATAAGTTTTTATTCACACCATGAATCCAAAATAGAACTGTGGTGATTTGGGAAATGTTATAAGAACCTAATCTTTTCTTTTCCACAACCTGAAAGCATACTGTAGAAATAACTGAAAAAAGATGGGGAATAAAATGATCCACAAGAACAGATGTCATATTAGGATACTGAAATGTCATTAATAAGCTGAAATATCATTAATAGGTTTAGGTTTTCATAACATTGGTCAGAGGTGACTAAGAAAATTGCCCAAGTATGCAGTAACTACATATTTATTGAGTCATCTTCTTAGTAGATAATCAGGAACATAGAAACAGACCATAGTGACAGAAGCTAGAATTCTGCTTCTGAAATTCTTTTTGTTTCCTCTTGTTTCAGGGAGTCTTATCTAACCTCTTCTTTGTGGAGCATGACTTTCCTGAGCAAGAGATTCAAGAAGGGAAAAGCCATCAGAACCCACATGAGGCTCGGTTTGTGGTGGAACTGTGCAAGTACTTCTTGTGTCAGGATTATCTACCTTCTCAGATCACCATTCTCACTACTTATACTGGGCAGCTTTTCTGTTTGCGCAAGCTCATGCCAGCCAAGACTTTCGCAGGTGTGAAGGTTTATGTAGTGGATAAATACCAGGGAGAGGAGAATGATATTATCCTGCTGTCACTTGTGCGGAGCAACAAAGAGGAGAGAACTGGATTCTTGCAGATCCCTAATCGGATATGTGTAGCGTTATCCAGAGCTAAAAAAGGACTGTATTGTATTGGGAATATGAGAATGCTAGGTAAAGTTCCTCTCTGGAGCAAGATCATTCACACCTTGCGGGAGAAAGGCAACATTGGCCGCTCACTGATCCTTTGCTGTCAAAACCACCCTGAGACCAAGACGCTGGTATCTACAGCAGCAGACTTCAGCAAAGTCCCAGAAGGAGGCTGTAGTCATCCCTGTGAATTTAGGTTGAGTTGTGGCCATGTTTGCACAAGGGCATGTCACCCCTATGACACTCAGCACAAAAAGTATCAGTGTCTGAAGCCTTGTCAAAAGGTGCTTTGTGCAAAGGGACATCGCTGCCAACAGTCATGTTATGAGCCATGTGGACCGTGTATGGTGATAGTAGAGAAAACAATTTCAAAGTGTGGTCACCTGCAGATGGTGCCATGTTCTTGTCCAGATAGTGAGTTTGTCTGCCAAGAACCTTGCCAGAAAAAGCTGAACTGTGGGCATACATGCAACAGATTCTGTGGCCAGGAATGTACTACACGGTGTCCTGAACTGGTTAAAGTCACACTGCAATGTGGCCACACCCAGAAAGTTAAATGTTGGATCACTGAAGAGATGAAACATGGGAAACCTGTTGAATGTAAAACTAAGTGTTCTGTCACACTGGAGTGTGGTCATGCATGCTCAGGTTCCTGTCATACCTGCTTTGAAGGAAGATTTCATAAGCCATGTAGCAGCCCATGCAAGCGCTTCTTGGTCTGCTCCCACAAGTGTCAGCAGCCTTGTACTGTAGAATGTCCTCCCTGTCAGCTTGACTGTCAGAACCATTGTGTTCACAGCAGGTGTAAAAAGAAATGTGGAGAGCGCTGTTTTCCATGTGTAGAACCATGTGAGTGGCAGTGCCAGCACTATCAGTGTACCAATCTTTGCAGTGAACCATGTAATAGGCCTCGCTGCGATGTACCATGTACTAAGCTGCTGCGATGTGGACATCCTTGTATTGGATTGTGTGGAGAGCCCTGCCCAAATAAGTGCCTTGTTTGTGACCATGAGGAGGTCACTCAGATCTTTTTTGGCTTTGAGGAAGACCCAGATGCTCGATTTGTACAGCTTGAAGACTGCGGCCATGTCTTTGAGTCCCAGGGCCTTGACCATTATATGGATGAAGATGATGATGTCGTCAAGCTGAAGGTATGTCCTGTCTGTCAGACACCAGTCAGAAAGAATTTGAGATATGGTACCGTTGTGAAAAGGCGGCTGGATGAGATAGAGAAGGTGAAAGAGAAAATCCAAGGCCCAGCACAGGAAATCGAGTCTAGCAGACAAAGACTACAGGCTGCACTAATAGGGAATGCTGTTCTGCAGAGGAATCTACCCCATAAGTACCTCATGTTGGAAGATAAACTAAAAGCTTCTGATCTTTCTATAAAGAGTATTGGACTAATTGAGAACCAGCTTAACTTCTACAAGCGTGTAGCTGACCTAACTGATTCTATGAGCAAAATTGATGTGAATGAGCGGAAAGGCCTGAAAAAGCGGCTGGATGAAGTCCAGGAGTGGCTGGATATGCCACGCATCAGCTTTACAGGGCAAGAGCTCTCTGACCTGCAAGCTGAGATCCAGAGACTGACTCTTCTACAGAGCCTCTTGTCAAGGTGCAAAAGCGCAAGTGGGATGATCACCACAGCCCTCGCAGCAGAGATTGCCTGTGTACGTGAGATTTTGGAAGGGACAAAAAAGTTCACAGAGGCTGACGAAGCTGCAGTGAAGGCTCAACTGGAGAGGCTCTGCACCGCCTTGCCTGTGTCGGGGCTGGGGATCTCCGAAGCTGAGCGGGTGCAGATTGTCCGTGCCATAGGCTGTCCCCGTGGCCACTGGTTCAAGTGCAGAAACGGGCATATCTATGTGATTGGGGAGTGCGGGGGGGCGATGGAGAGGAGTAGGTGTCCCGAATGCCACGCGGTCATCGGGGGCACAAACCACGCTCTGGACAGCACCAACAGCCTCGCCCCCGAGATGGACGGAGCGACCCACGCAGCCTGGTCCGAGACAGCCAACAACCTGCTCAACTTCGAGGAGCTGCGGCTGCTGCTGTAGCTGCGCGGCCGTCCCCGCTTCTCGCGCGCCCCCGCTCGCGGACACGGCGTCGGCTCTCGGGCCCCCAGTTAATAAAGTGCACGCACGCGGCCCGGCGCTGCCCGCCCGCCTCCTTTGTCCGGGCCGGGAGGGGGCGGCCACGGCTGCGGTCGGGTTGCCGGGAGGGGGAGGGGGCGGGGCCGCCTTTTCCCCTCTGTTTTCCGGAAGCGGATGTGACGCGCAGCAGCTGTGTAAGGGGCCGCGAGGCGGTGGCTGTTCCCGCAGCCATGGAGGCGCGGGAGGCGCTGCAGGAGCTGCGCGCGGCGCTGCGCGCGGTGCTGGCGCGGGTCAGAGGTGGGGGCCGGGGCTGGGCTGGAGCCGGGCAGGAGCCGGCTGGGCTGGGCTGGGCTGGGCTGGGCTGGCTTCCTGCTGGCTGAGGCCTATGTCTGCCTTTACAGAGGGCGAACCGGGCGAAGGCCGAGAGCCGTTCGAGCCCACGCGCTTCTGGGACGCGCTAGGTACGGGCCGGGGGGCACGGGCCGGGGGGCGGGCTGGTGCTGCGGGTGCCGCGGGTGCCGGGCTGGGGCAGGCGTGGCGCCGGACGGGGCGGGGGCGGGGCTCCGCGGTGCCGGTCTGTGGCAGGGCTCCAAGCTGCAAGAAGGACTCCAGCCGGGGCTTCTGCACTTGCTCTCGGCTCCAGCCGCCGTGTTCGCGTTGCAGAGCGGTAGGCAGCATGGAACAGTTTTCATAGCTATGTTTTTAAAGCTTTTGTTCTCTGTTAAAGCCTTCCAGAACCTTCTGCTGAAGGTGTCCTGGACCAGGAGACTAATGTGATTGTAGATATCAGTACTGGCTAAATAAAAAAAAATAGAAATGAACAGATACATAAAACATACAACACGTATGGCATAAATACACCAAGGAAATCTTTGAAGTGGGATTTTAGCTTATGGCTTTTTCATGCTTGGAAAAAAGAAACGGTAATGGAGCAGTAGATGTTAATGTTAAGTAGAGTCAGAGAAGACATTGCTCGTTTATCTGTTTTGTTCTTTTGTCTTTTACCCAAGATGCTTCCTAATGTCTTGTTCCCACTGTATGCTTTCTAAGGTCAGACATTCAAAGAAACATCACAAGAAGCTACAAAACTTAGTCTGGCATTCTCGAGGTCTCCACTGCCTTCTGCAGAGGTGAGTAAAAGCCCCCTACAGAGAATGAAATTTCAGTGTATGTGACAAGTTTCAGGTATCTCCTGGTTTACTTGACTAAAACAAAGTCTCATTGGGTTCAGCGCAAAAAAAGAACATCTGTGGGAGCTATGTGTTTTAGAGAGTTTTTACCAAATTCAATAATTACCTAGAGAACTAGTTTCAATAACTTAGGGGGACATACCAGATAGACGTATTCTTACACTTTTTTTCTTAAACATCTGCAACTGGTTGCTGACAGAGGCACGATATTGAGCAGTATGGACCTTACTGCTAACAAAGAATGGCAATGTATTTTCTGTTAATTGAGAAAAGTTTAACACATGGGTGTTTGAAGAAGGAAGAAAAGACCTCCAACTCAGAGTAGTGGTTTAAGCTACTTCTTCCTCTTTTCGCAACCTTTGAACCATGCTACTCATAGTACATACAGTGAGTTTGGAACTCCAGAAAGCTGAGATACTTAATATTAAATATTATATCTTTGAGTTCTGTATTTGTTTCTCCATTATTATGACCATAACTATGCTTCCCTCCCTTTCCCCCTTTTTTTTTTTTTTTTTTAAACAAAGTAATGCGGATGGGATTGTTCATGAGACTTTCCTAATAAAGTGTGGCCATGTAATGTTGATACTTTTGCCTACCTGTTTTCAGAATTGTCAGAAGCTGAGCGAAGATGTCCAAAATGCCATTCTTGCAGTTGCCACAGTGTACTACTGGCTCCCCAAGGGCCAAGGTGAGATAGTAACAGCAGGATAGTGCCAATTCTTTCACCGCTATATAAAGAAAACAAATATTTCAAATTGTAGTAGAAGATCAGGCATCTACAGGAAAGCAAGCTAACATGAGCGGAGTCCCGTTGTCAGCTATTCTACAGACTTGGAACGTGGTTACAAGTGAACCACTTGACCATCTAATTCTGCAGATTTCAGTCTGTGAATGAGTGATAATGTAGTAAGTGGTATAGTTGTTTGAGCATTCATAGTTATAAAGTGTTGATAGCTTCGTCCAAAGCCCATTTGGAACTGGAGAAGGTATATTGCTTCCTTCAAAAATAGCTGCAACTTTATATTGTGTATCCGCACAAACAGAGCATTCTGCATGTTCATCTGTGTCCGTTTCTGTCAGTGCTCTTTGTGGCAACATTCTTGCTGTTTCTCAATCTCAACCAGGTACTACTCTTCGGAAGATGGTACGAGATGCTACCACTGAAGTAGTGGAAGGAATGATCCAACTCACAGAAACTATTCTCATTTCTCCATTGGAGAGGTAGTAACTTTCCATTAAGAAGAAAGAAAAAGTTACAAATATCTTGTAGGGGGCAGCAAGTGCAGACTTGGAGAAGCACCCTAAGGGAAGTGGGAAGGCAGGAGCTGAGCACTGTTATGAGGCAGGCAAAGGCAGCAGCTTCACCAAGAAGGGCCCATTCCTCCAATATCTGAGTGAGCAGAGTAGTGCTGGTGAGGGTAGACAAATGTAGTTGAGAGTCGAAATCACTGGACAAGTCCATGGCAACAACATCAAGCTGGAAAGTTAGGCCAGAAAAGTCAGGATCAGATTTGGAGAGAGTAACGAGCACCAGACACTGTGTCAGCACCAGTGATTGCCCAGCAAGTCCATTCCAGTGATACAACCTCAGAGTAAAATAAATTTTACCGTGTATAAAGCACGGTGTTTTAATAACTCCTACTGAGTTTAGTTATTAATTGGAACAAAAGTCAGGAGCTCCTTAAAAAGACCTCTGAAGATGGTCTTTTGTAACATCCTTACATTCCTATTGATGCTTTCCATAGAGCACAAGAATTCTCCATCCCCCTCCCCTGTGTCAGAAAGCGAGCAGGGAGGGCAGAAAACTGGGCTGACTGAGCAAGGACCTGTTGGTTAAACTGAAGCACAGGAAGGAAATGCACAGGCAGTGGAAGCAGGGACAGATGGCCAGGGAAGAGTACAGGGATGCTGTTCATACATGCAGGGATGGGATCAGGAAGACCAAGGCACAGGTGGAACTGAGTTTGACAAGGGGATGCAAAAAATAACAAGAAGGGGTTCTGTAGGTACATTGCTCAGAAAAGAAAGGTGAAGGAGAGTGTACCCCCTCCGATGGATGCAAAGGGTGAACTGGTAATTACAGAGAAGGAGAAGGCTGAGGTACTCAACAACTTCCTTGCCTCAGTCTTCACTGCCATTCAGGTTTCCCATGTCTCTCATTTTCCTAAACCGGAAGATGACTGGGGTAGAAAAGTCCCTCTCACTGTAAAAGAAGAGCAGGTTTGAGACCGCCTGATGAAACTGAGCAAATGCAAATTTATTGGGCCCGATGACGTGCATCTCAGGGTCCTGAAGGAACTGGCTGATGGAGTCACCAAGCTACCTACCATCATATTTGAAAAGCCCTGGCAGTCAGGTGAAATCCTTGGTGACTGGAAACAGGGAAACATCATTCCCATTTTAAAAAAGGGTAGAAAGGAAGACCCGGGGAACTACAGACTGGCGAGCCTCACCTCTGTGCCTGGCAAGATAATGGAACAGATCCTCCTGGAGGCAATACTAAGGCACATGAATGCCAAGGAGGTGATCTGGAATAGCGAGCATGCTTCAGCAAGGGCTCTTCGTGCCTGACCAATTTGGTGGCCTTTGATTATGGAGTGACTGCATCAGTCGACAAGGGAAGATTGACCAAAGTCATCTATCTGGACTTGTGTAAGGTCTTTGACATGATCACACATGACATCCCAATCTCCAAATTGGAGGGATATGGATTTGAAGGCTGGACCATTCAGTGGATAAGGAATTAGCTCAATGGCTGCATCCAGAGAGTAATGGCCAATGGTTCTATGTCCAGGTGGAGGCTGGTAACGAGCGGTGTCCCTCAGGGGTCTGTGCTGGGACCAGTATTGTTTAATATCTTTATCAACGACATAGACAGTGGGATTGAGTGCACCCTCAGCAAGTTTGCAGATGACACTAAGCTGAGTGGTGCAGTTGATATAACAGAAGGAAGGAATATCCTCCAAAGGGATATGGACAAGCTTGAGAAGTGGGCCCATGTGAACCGAATGACGTTTAAGTGTAAGGTGCTGCACCTCGGTCCGGGCAATCCCAGACATGAGTACAGACTGAGAAGAATACATTGAGAGCAGCCCTGTAGAGAAAGACTTGGGAGTTCTAGTGGAACTAGAGCTTGACGTGAGCCAGCAGTGTGTGTTTGCAGCCCAGGAGGCAAACTACGTCCTGGGCTGCATCAAAAACAGTGTGACCAGCAGGTTGAGGAAAGTGATTGTCCCCCTCTGCCCTTGTGATTCTTGCAGTGCTGTGAGGACTCTGCCACTTGGAGTACTGCATCCAGGTCTGGGACAGGAAAAAGCGCAGGAAGGATGTCGATCTGTTACAACAGGTCCAGAGGAGGGCCACAAAGATGATCAGAGGGCTGGAGCACCTCTCCTAAGAAGGAATTTCCATGAAGGCGATTGATACCATTTGCATTGGCTGGCAGTTTTTGCCTCTGGAGTGAATGTTGTGTGTCATGCGTGATGACTGTGTGACTCTACAGCTAGTTAGTAAACCACTGTGCTTCAGGGGAGGTATTATGCACCCTCTCTTTAATGATAAATGATTCTGCCTGTAGTCAAAGATCATTAGCCTCTTCTGATTTGTGTAGATTCTGGAAGATTATAATACACCTAAGCACCTTCGGAGGTCTTTGTAAGAGGCTTTGGCTACTTGTTCCAATTAATAACTAGACAGAGTAGGAGTTATTAAAATACCTCTTGCTTTATGCAGACATGAGATACCAGTGACAAGCTGGTTTGCTGACATCTTTCCAGCAGATCCCCTTCTAGTGTGCAGAAAATACAAACAGTATAGCAGGATGGTGCTATTGAACCTAACTTTGAGAGTCTCTGTTTTGTTTCAGCTTGTCTCAGGAACAGCTTATATCAACTGGTGGTGTGTGGGAAGCGTGTGAGCAAGTGTCCAACCTGCCACGAAGTGAGTACTGTATATGCAGAACAATGGAACTAGGATGTGTGATCTTGAAATGTTGATAGTACTTGCGAGGGGCATTTTAGCTAGTAGAATGGAGGCTTACTCATTCTGTAGAACCCTACTGTTCTTTGAAGTGGATAAGCATGGAAGCCAGGTCAAATTCTCTGTATAGCAACAGTGCAGCTCTGAGGTTTGCAAAAAATGTAACCCTGTGATCTCAAGATCTCATGGTTGCAGACCTAAGTGAATGTTGTTGGAAGCTGATTTGAATCAGTGCAGCACTACAGTTGTCTTCCTTTATGTTTTGCAGATAACCAGGCAGCAGTTGTGTCAGCTCTCGCTGCTTGTCTGAGTGTGGTCAAGGATGCTCTGGAGGAGATGGAAAATGTAAGGAAGCTCCTAAGCCTTTGAGGAACCTGCAGTGATAGACTGCAGTGATAGAACACAGAGGTTTTTTTTTAATGTAGAGGCTTTGATGTAAGTTTGTTCTTATATGACCAAAGTTACTGAGTTGAACTTACTGAGTTTTCAAACCTGGGTCTAGTTTATCTTACATGTGGTTTCCATGAAGCCATATTCTGAACTGTGTGGTTTTAGGTTGATATAAGAATGGGACTATCTGCCACGTTCTTGCTGTTTGCTCTGTTGAATTAGTTTTTCTTAATACAGTCTTATTAAGATTAACAGAATCAAGCAAATGAGATGCTGGTTGAAGAAGGATTCCTCCATATATTATTTGTTTTCTAGATCGTATTTTACCTTTCCTCCTGGGTATTGCTAGAATGGATGTTAGGTTCTGGGTTTTCAGGGCATCTGTATTCTCAGGCTCTGGTGGAAGGGCAAGACCCCTACAGTGATATCACGGAAGATGAAGATCTTGGCTTTCGGGGCAACAGAGATACCTATTGGTCAGAAGCTGACCGGAAACTGCTTAGCTCCTGCATGGGATTAATAAAGGCTTCCAAAGCTTGCCTGAAGAAGGTCTTAAGTGTAGTGAAGGCTTATGGCAAAGCTGAATCTCCAGAGCATATTGCTCAGCTGGATGACCTTGCAGACATTGCTAATGAGATCAGTCCAAGGTAAGTAGGTCTCTCCCCATGCTGCGTTCTGCTCCGGAGCAGTCCCTTTCTTTCTTGAGGTTTAGAAAATGGACTAGAAAAAACATTATGATACTTAATCTGTGACCAGGTGGTGGAAGGGGGTTTGATGGGAAAACTATTATATCATAGGCTATTGAGAGTTGTGCAGGTTAAGAAAGGAGTATGTGCTGCTGCTTGGGGTGGAGCTGTGACTAGAGATAAGGTGGAAGTGCCACACAGACGCCTGAGAAGGTGGTGAGAAGTATTCAGTGGGAATAACCAAATGCCTCCTTGTCATGCCCTGCTATTCCTGACTTGCACTGTGGAAGTGGTACCAGCAGGTCAAGGGAGGTGATCCTCCCCCTCTGCTTAGCCCTGTTGAGGCCACACCTGGAGTATTATATCCACAAGAGGGACATAGAACTACTGAAGTGAGTTCAGAGGAGGGCTACAAAGATGATTAGAGGACTGGAGCACCTGTTGTACAAAGACAGGTTGAGAGAATGGCCTGTCTGGCCTGGAAAAGAGAAGACTGAGGGGAGACCTCATTAATTACCTGAGGGGGAGGGTGTTGAGAGGATAGAGACAGCCTTTTTTCAGTTGTGCCCAGCGACAGGATGAGAGGCAATAGACACAAACTGAAGCACAGAAGATTCTGGCTGAATACGAGAGGGCATTTTTACTGGGAGGGTGACAGAGCACTGGAACAGGTTGCCCAGAGAGGTTGTGCAGTTTCCTTCTCTGGAGATATTCAAAACCTGCCTGGATGCCATCCTGTACAATGTGCTCTAGCTGATCCTGCCTGGCAGTGGGGTTGGACTAGATGATCTTCAGAGGTTCCTTCCAACCTCAGCCATTCTGTGGTTCTGTAACTGAGATCTGTGAACTGGGTGATTGGAGGGCTTTCTTTCATTGCACTTCTCTCTTCCATTCTAGTGTTGATGAGTTGGCACTGAGCATGTATCCACCTGTGAACCAGCTGGCCGTGCGACTCAACGTAAGTTTCTACAGCCTGCATGCAGTTCTGCTTGCTTGGCTGTAGGAAAGGGGATGAAATTAAACTAGGGGAAATTAAATTAGGGGAAATACCTTTGACAGGGAGACAAGGGTATTAGTTACTGTCTAAGTAACATGCTCTGGGGAACCAAGAGTCCCCTCTAGTTCTCACACACTCGTCTTCTTTTAACTGGAAATGCAGTCCTCATCTTTATTTCGGGGAAATGGCTGTCCACTCTAGTGCTGGCTCTAAACTCTAATCCATAGAGACATCCAGTGACAGTACCTCAGGAAAGTGAAGTGTAAGGCTGCCAATGTGCCTTACATCTACTTTTTTCCTGGGTAATTTAGATTTGCTCAAATAAAATGGTCTAAATTAAATAAATTAAAAATTTTTACAATGAGCATGGTTAAGCACGTTTCAGTTGTTAAGTGAAATAAGCTGCTTAGAGAAGTAATGTCCATTGCTTGCATGAGAAGCAATTTCCATCTTTGGAGATGTTCAAAATTTGGTGGGGCAAGGCTCTGAGCAACTTGACAGAACTATGAGGTTTGCCTTGATTTGAGCAGGAGGTTGTACTTAGGTGACTTCCAGCGGTCCCTTCCAACCTAAATTAATTATATACTTTCTCATATCTGAAATTCTTTATTCTGGTTTCATACATTTGGCCAGTGGCTTGATTGTTGTTGTTGTTATAATTAATGAAGTGTTGTTTAATATCAAATTGTATTACAGTGAGTCACTTATAACTTTACCCCTTACAATGTTACCAAGTTCTAATAGACTTACCTTTTAAAGAAAAAAAACATACTAATGTATAGTTTAAAAAATGATCTGTCTGTATTTTTACCTGTTTCAGTCAGCAACAGGTCAGGCGATACTCCCACCCATGTTAGATGGCTTCCTTTTGCATCAGGATCTGTGGCAATTTACCTTATTTTTGGCCATGTCAGGCATTCTTGCACCTTCCCTTTTTTTCCCCCGATATTGCTGGACCCCCTTTTTCCATGTTTGGTGTACTTTACTTCCATTTTGTTTTTTTCTAGGCTGCTAAACTGGCCTCAGTATTAAAGAAAGTCTTAGAGATTACAAAGTGAGTATGAGATACAATTTATAAGCATGTGTTGCCTGCTATGGAAGTTGATATCTTTTTGCCTCCTGTCAAAGACGACTCATTTCTAGGCAGCAAACGCTGTCATTTTGGAATAATTCTGATGTTATCCAGTTGTAATGGGATAGGAATAGGATGTCAGGAATTAAAGTGGTTACTGCTGAAGATGGACATATATGTGTCAAAGTTTGGAACTAGAGACATGGATGTTGGTTCTTCCTGGCTCAAAGTACTGTGGAGCTATAATGGACCTGTTTTAATTATGTGGTAACTTGGGACTTCACAATATGTATGTGTTGTGTGGGTTTCCGGATACATAAATGTAAAACCCTCAAGGTGGCCTTCCTAATGAATTTCCTCCACTTTGCAGGACAAGCCATGTCTGTCCACCATCAGAGGAAGGCTGGGTGCAGTTTCTGATTGGTGCAGTAGATCACAACATGGACAAAATCAAGAACTTCACGCAGGGTGAACTTTAGCTCTTCTGTGTCCACATGTGTAGCTGCTACTGGCCCTGATGTATGCTTTTCCAGTGAATCTGGCCATTCTCCAGCTACAGGGAGAATGATGAGGACAGTGCTCTTAAGAGAGAACTTCAATGCCACCTGGCAAAACTCACAAAAAATCACCCTTTGCAATTGCAGGTGATGTCATTTTGCTTGGACTCTTGGGATGGTGCAGTGCTGAATCTTACTGTTGTGAATGTGCCCAGTTTTTCAGACATTACAACTGCTGTGGGGTTCAAAGAACAATAAAATGCTGCTAGATTTACGTGGTTAGCTGCATCTGTTTACAGGTGGCAGAGAATATATATACATAGAAGAATAGGGTCTTGCTGCTTTTGCAAGCCAAATGAGCCATTAAAAAAAAATACAATGCTGATATTTTCTGTCTAACCATAGAGAAGAGCAAATTATCTTCCTCTCATCTGTTCCCTAAGAAAGCAATAGAAAATGCTGTCTGCTGCTTTACCAACTTCAAGGATCTGTAGGATATGAGTACATCTCTAGAGAAATACTACATCTATCATCGCTTCAGAGTTCTAAGATATGCTTTTTTTGCCACGGGAAGAATGACTAAGCATTGGTGAGTTGAGTGGATATGCACAAAGAAATACAGCATCTGCTTGAGCATTTAGCCCATGTTTGTCACAGGAAGGTCCAACTTGCAAGATCTGAGAGTGGATATAGTTGCATATGGGAGAGAGTTGAGTTTGTATGAATAATACAAGTCAGACGTAGTTTTAAATAAACTTTTAACATCTATGCTTGCCAAAGGTCAGTCGGAAAGATTGTGACCACTCTTTCAAATAGGACAGCAGGACTTGTTCTAAGCTGGGCATCAGGCAGCTGCAATGTTGATACTTTTGTAGCTCTTCAGGTTCTGGAGTTGAAGGCAGGTAAGATTCACAGTGAGTCTTCTGGGCCCTGCTTCAGTGGGAGTGAATGAGATACGCAGCTGTTGAGTGCTTCCAGGCTGCACAGAACCCAGCCTGAAAGGCAAGAGGGGATTATACAGGAAGCACACCTCTCTGCATTCCTTGTTCATTAGGGCTCAGGAGATGCATTTGGGAGACATGAGTGTGATGCCCCCCAAAAAAAGGGGATGAGGTGGGGTGTAAATAGAGAAAGACTAGCAGTGTCCTAAACTGCCATGATGGAATTGTGATCAGACAGCAATTTGGAGGAACTTATGAGGGTTGAACTCCCCATGAATCATCTACTTTGTCCTAATGCAGCTTTCTGAGAAAAATGTTGCTTTTTCATGTGGAAAAGAGTATGCCTTCTTAGATGACTCTTGGCTAAGTCAATTTTACCTGGCTCTTCAGCAGAGAAGGGGAGGATCAGATGAAAGTTATCTGGCTTTTCTCTTTTTCAGTGAAAATCTTCTGTATCACCCCTAAATAAGGGAGTGCTTGGGGCTTTCAACTGTAGTGGTCTATTCCTGCTTTGTTGCCTGTTTATTCTGGGGGCAGGCATTTCCAGGACAAGGGTTTCTCTAGCTTGTATTGTGTCTGTTTTTGCATTTCCTGCTCTTAGGTTAATCAGTTTGCACTCACCTGTACTTCCTTTGCCTGTAAATGAGCCCTCGCCCTCCTACCACTATCACACACTTCTCCAGGGTTTCAGCGAGAGGGTTCAGGAGGCTAATCTCCACTGAGGCTGGCTGGTACTGTACCATGTGTTCTGGAAACTGTTGAAAGAAGGGAATGAGATGAAACTGTGAGGAAAAAAAAAGAGAAACTTTCATGATTAAAGGGAGAGGTATTTCTTTTTTGCCAGGGGTCCCAGCATGAGCTGCCAGTTGCCAGAAGACTCAAAGTCCAGCTCGCTTTCTTTACTACTACAGTATTCTGTAGTTTCCTTTACAGCCTCTGATTTGCAGGCTGGTGAGTGAGTTAGGAGTCATCTGGATTTCCTTGTCTTTACACATAGATGAGATAGAAGTGGGAGGAGTATTGTGTATGACCGTGCAGCACAGCACTTTTCCCAAACTTATGTCTCAGTGCTTTGAAAGAAGACAGTATGAGGAAAGCCATGGAACGCAGCAAGTGTCTTTCTGCTGCTTGTGACTAGGAAAGCTGTTTTCTCACCACTGCAGTACAGAATGATGAAGCAATCTAACCTTAATAATGAGAGGGGGATCACAAATGCGGATCTCTTCCTGTGCAAAGCATATGTAGGAGTCCTTGTCTCTCAGCATGGCAGTCAGCCGAAGCAGATGGTTCTCTCCCAACTCTTTTATGTACTGTGAGTAAGGCACAGTGGCCTGCAGGGTGTTAGCTGGAATACAGAGTGGTGACATAGAGGTGACAATGCAACTAATATTAAGTTCTTAGACTGCATGCTTCCTAGCAGTGTTTAGCACCCAACACTGTACTAAAAGCTGCAGTATTTAAAAGCTCTAGAGACCCCAACTGAATCTGCAAATTCAGAAATCTGTAGGGTGATCCACCTAACGTGCTGCAGCTTTCCTCTTCTCCCCACCAAAGTGATTTGTTCGAATAGCCTACAGTCAGCTTTCCAGCCAGGCTTTTGCAGACTTAAAGCTAAGTGCATTTTTCCTAAATGAGAGGACAGAGTATACTTTTCTGTCCTTGTGTCCGGTAGAATCCTTACCTTCATTGCTCTTGAGGATAAAATGAAACTCTTTCTTCCAAAGTTGGGTAATGGATGTGCCACCATAATGTAGAGACTGGGCCCCAAGTACCAAATGAGTTGCCTTCTCTCCACCGCTGGGGTTAAACACTTCAACAGAAATTGGAACATCTTGTCCCAGTAGCAGAGAACTATTGGACTGGAGTTGGATAAAAAGGTTAACTGGCTCTTCAAGGGCAGTAGAAATGGAGCTGAACTCTGATTTGGTGCTGGTAGTTGTCTCAAGTGTCTTTATTCTTCTGTAGACTTTGTCAAGTATTTTTTTTTCCTGAAGAGAACCTATTACAAAAAAAAGGGGGGGGGGAGGTATGAGGAGGAGAGTGCATATTTCAGTGTTATTTCCTGTGTAGTAATTGTAAAGCAGTAAATGCAGAAGGATGGAGTTGAATTGTCCTAACAGTGCTGTAGACAACTATTTCTTAGAGCATAGAGAGACATCTCATTGTGCTCCTGGTTGGAGCAGATTGAGAATTTCATCTGACAGCATGTTGCATGTGCCTGAAAGATTCTACTTTGAAAGAATTCTTTTAGTTTTGGAAATACTTCAGTGCTAACATCTGTCAGAGTAAGAGAACAGTTGCCTCTCTGTAATTGTAGCTATGGTGCAGTACTATCTTGTCCTGTGATACACTGCAGCAAAGAAGACAGCATGCCATAGGCTAAGATGAGATTGTAGAGTTGGGAAACTAGGCAGAATAATAGATTTTAAAGGGAGAGCTTCTATTTGAGGGAGGGATATCATAGAATCATTGAATAGCTTGAGTTGGAAGGGACCCACAAATATCATCAAGTCCAACTCCTGGGTCCCCGGAGGACCACCAAAGAATCAGACCGTGTCTGAGTGTTATCCAAATGCTTTTTGAGCTCCAGCAGGCTCATTCCATAACCACTTCCCTGGGGAGCCTGTGAGGTTTTAGAACATTTGGGAGCACAGCAGTCCTCAGAAAGCTGGAGTCTGAAATGTAAGACAGGGGTGATGGGAGATGAATGTACAGAGTTTACAGGTAACAGAAGTCAAGAAAGGAAGTCTTCCAGACAGGAGAGTGTCTGGTGGAGAAATGCCTGGCCTTCTGGTGAGCTGGTAATTAAGCAGCATGAAACTTTGGGGTATGACCTGTACTTTGATTCTGTAGACAGCAAGAGTAAGGTGTTCTTGTGCCATTCAGGAAGAAGTAGTGAGAAGTGGATGACCATAATGCTCTGGTATGGCTGTTCAGTCCTGTACTCTTCACTTTTAACACTAGTAGGAAATGTGTTTAGACACTTTTCCACCCTATACCTTCAGGATATTTGTAGTTGTGTGTGATATCCTCACAGCGTTCGCTGCCCACACTCTTGGTGCTGATGTTGTTGCCAGTATACTTTGTGCAAATGCAAGCTGGCTTGAGGATGCCATCTGTTTTGTGTATCCAGATGTGGCACTTGGCATTTATGGCAGCAAAGAAATAGCAGACATCATAATCCACTTCAGTGTCCCCTTCTTTGATGGCTTGAACAGGGGCTGGCCCACAGAAGGATGCGCCTAAAGAGAAAATGCAGCCCAATTAAGAGTTAGATGCTTGACCAACTAGGCCCATGCTTAGAGCTCCACGGGCTGCACGAACTAAAAGAGTTAATGATGATTTAGTGTGTGAAGTCCTCGGGGTGATTTATGCATCCTCCCATTGGAAATTGAAGAAGGAAGGAATATTGCACTGCTTTATTTGCTCCCTTTTTTCCCTGAGTCTGTCTTTGATATCTTACCTTTGCTTTTTTCCTGGCAGGTGGCATCTAGTGCCTGCCATCCACTGTACTCTGGTAGCAAGTCTGTTCGAGCCATCCAGCATTCGTTCCAAACATGGAAGGTCCTGTGAGAGACAACATCATGTGCTTATAACAAGATGCTGAGCCCTGAGGTACAGGAAACTTTTAGCCAAACCACAGCAAATTAACACTCCTTTGAAAGAACTCAGCACACAGGAAGAGACCATGTTTTTTGATGTAAGTGTAGTTTCTCCAGATGGTTTGGGTTATCGTTGTTCATTTGTGGGCCCTAGCAATATAGCACTCTTTACTTTTGGTTCCTGAGGTTTCTCAAGAACAAGTCATGTACACTGCAGCTCAGCTGAGCTCTCTCTTATTTACCTCCCTGCAGCTGTTTACCTTTTCCTCTCAGTTGCTTCCTAGACCCAGGTATTGTCTCAAACTTTAGTTTGGACCCTGCTGTGTTTTCTTACCAGACTCTGGCACTCTTGTCATGTGTAAGCAGCATTCCATTTTCGTCATAATACTCATCCACATTCAGACTGCTGTTCGTGTTGTGAGCCCATGTGAAGCCTGTGACAACCCTGGTGGGAATTCCCAAGCACCTCAGAACTGTGCAGAAGAAAGAGCTGTGGATCAGTTGTGCATCCTGCTGTAAAGGTATCTTTGCCAGTAGATGTAGAGCTGGTTTTGATACTAGGCCCATCAGAATGGCACTGGGCCTGATATCTGGACTTTGCAAGAAGCACTGTCCCTTCAGGAAGTGAACTGTCATAGGTGCATTCAGTGAATGGTGTGTACTAACACTCCTTTAGCCCAAGGCTGGCAGTGCTAAATGTTGATGAGTAAATTTGGAGGATCTGCCTCGCACTTAGAGATTAAAGGTTATGTTACTGGGATCTGTGCTTTCCCAGGAATTCAGTCATATGCTAGAGGTTCTGTGTACCAGGTAAGGCTTTACTCAACCCACAAGTCTTTGAACCACAACCGTACCTGAGCACATGACTGCAGCAAACACCCAGCACTGCCCGTAGCGGACAGGTTTGCACTTCAGTGCCACCCACTGCCGGAGGATGGGGCTGCTGCCCAGCCAGTTGGAAGGGGGTGTCCCATCATAGTATTTCCCGGTCCCATATTCTGTCATGATTCCTCTAACCTCATCGCAGTTCATCTTCAGGGAAGGAGGAGAGAAAGATGAATTAAGGAATTACATCTTAGTAGGTAAACCATATCCTGTTTGATGGAACTACTTCCAAGGCAGCTGAAACAAAAAGGATTTTTTGAGCAGAACATGGAGATCATGACTGACCAGAGCAGGTGCAACAGTCTCCCTTGAGATTTATTCAGTAAGTGTGCTGCTACTGCTAAGAAATTCCTGCAGCACTACTTGTCTGCTGCAGGAATATCAGGAAGGGCTGGAGATAGGTGGGAGATGTTGTTTGGAACAGCCCTGGGCAGTCTTACTGAGTAGTCGGTGGGTTGCTGTAAATTGGGATTAAGTATATACTAGCCTGTCTGCATTCAGACCTTCTCTGCTATGGACTAGGCTGCTGACTACTCTCCTTACCATGGCAGCAACTGTGCGGCAGATGTAAATAGGGTTCTTGCGCTGAGTGTGATCCTTGTCCCGTTGATGGCGTTCACCTATGTCCAGCAGTGTGAAGCAGATGTCCACAATATCCTCCTCAAACTAAAACAAGAACACAACATCTTGAGAAATGTGGCCTTAATGTTTGTTCTCTGGAATCCCTGCAATGGCTTGAAACTGTGCAGATTTGAAGATGGAGCACAACATACTGAAGGCAGAACTGTTGCTTTATTGAAGCGTAGTGAGAAATGCACTAGCATGATACTGCATCCCATGACTGAGGGAAACTCCTGATTTTTTTTCTGGAGCACTCTAGGTCGGCATAGAGGTACTTGTTTAATCTGTTGTCACTAAAGTGGAATAGAATCCAGCTCTCATCACTGGCAGATTAGTCTTGGGCAAATTGGAAAATCTTGTCCTCCCTTTATCTGTAAAACAGACGGTATTATTAAGCTCTGCAAAATGATTTTTTTATCTGTTGATGAAAGGAAGAGACAAATCCCAGACTGATGTGTTTCTTCGTAAAATGACTGGCTGAGAAAGTAGCTAAAATTACATACATTGGATTATGGGACTTCATACATAGGTCTCCGTTCTCCTGTATGTTCATAGAGAAAGACAGTAGGAGCAGAGAACAGACTCTTTCATCGAAGCCACAGCATGGGAATGAATTGTATTCTGTACGTACAGGAGATAGACACCCTTCCTCTGCTGGTGGTTGTAAGAGAACACAGACATATTGGACCTCTTACCTGATTGAAGTCCCAGGGCTGTGCCAGGACTGCATTTTCAGTCCCCCAGTAAACGATACCCTCTTGGTTTAGAACGTACTCCTGCCGCTGTGCCTCGTTAGCCAAGAACACTTCATCATCTAGAATGGAGGAAGAAAGCATAAGGAGAAAAGCATTCTTGGTCTTGGATGCCCTTGCATCAGCAGGCTACGCTACACTTAGGCAGTCCCTGGCATTGTACCCTTGGGAAATACCACAGATTCTGAATTGAGCAGGAAAGAATTTCATTGCAATCTCTGCTCAAGTAGAAGAACTTCAGAAAGATCCTACAAAGCTAGGCTATTGTACTAGCTAGCTTTTTTACTCTACTTGTTACTGACTTCTCTGTTCCTAAGGAAGATCCAATGGCATTAATCAAACCGGTTATAATCTTAACTCGTAGGAAATAAATGATTGAACTGCTTTTTCCTTTGCAAGACCACGGTGTTCTGATAACAGAGTACTTCAGGAACAGGGTAGGAGTGCTGAGGCAGGTTGCTTCAAGCTGTGCTACCTGTACAAGCCCCTGCCTCCTTCCTGAAGTGCTGAGAGGAGCAGGGCAGGAGTAGAGGGAAGCACTGGGTAGGGTCAGCCTTAGCCTTTCCAGAGGCAGAGTGTCAGAGCTCAAAACTGTTTTTGTGAAGTGACTGATCTATGACTGCCTTTTTGTTCCTGATTCCTCACCTTGGCACCAGGGATTAAAGAGAAGGATGAAGTTTCCCAGGAGACAGTAAGACTTGGAGGCATGTAAAAGCAGAGCATACTGGCCAATGGGAGCATTGGCAGGCGTGTTCACAGAGATGGTCCAGAAACATGGGTCCTGTTCTTCTAGAGCTGCGCTCCACTGCTTCTGGTCTCCCAGGCGGGAGATAGGAAATTCAACCTGGGTTCCATCTGTTTTGGAAGGATTTGGTCCTGCAGCAAAAGAGATCTGGTTTCCACACATACATTGCCACCCCCTGCAGATTTTAGGGACCATGGCTAGATCTGGAGTCATAGCTATCCTTTCATGTGGGACACTTAAGCTTAATGCTTACCTTAATGCTGCTGTCTTAAAGCTTACTGAACCTTCCTAAGGTTAATACTGGACTAAAGCCACCTTGTTTGATAGTGGAACGTGTATTTCACAGAGTGTAGAAAGGAGGAACAGCCAGAATGGTGCAGGCCTGTTGCTCTTGGGATTCAGTGTCTTGTGACAAAAGCCACAGTCAAATAAATTATGGTAGAGCAAGCTGAGAGTGGATGGTGCTGCCCTTCTCAGGGCTCTTGCTGAAAAACACTGTAATAGAAAACATCTGCAAAAGACCAGCTGAGTTTAAATATTCCTAAATCAAAAGTCATGAGTGAGGAGAGATCCCATGAGTACTTTCAAAGAGCAATGAGCTTGCGTTGTGCTGTAATGTGTTTTGGGAAAAAGATTTAGTTTTGACCTTGCAGTCCCAGCAGCAGGAGACTGCTCTGGCTTAGATAAACAGTTTGTTTGCCTCACTTCTAAATGTGGGCACATCTGTCCAGCTATGGAGATGTCTTTTGGCTCTGTTCTTCAGGTGGCTTTTGTACAACTGCTCTACAAGGTATGGTAATCATGGTACCTGTCTGTACTATGAGGAAGGTCCTCTTCAGCTGCTGCAGGTAGTTGTATACTGGAGATGAGAAGCTCACTGTGATAATGAATGGCTGCCCACGCCTCACCATAAGCCTTTTAGTGCTGATTTCTTCTGTGTGGTGGTTATTGTTGTTCATTGTGATCTTGAAATCACATCTTTTGATGCTCAGACCTGTAGCATGAGAGGAAATAGAATGAGCTTGAGGCTGTGAGCTGCCCACACTCTGGCCCTGGGTCCCATCCTGATACAAGCCTGTTTCTCCACTCAGACAGTGCTCCATGCCTTTGAGACTTCCAGTCCAGTAGCTGTAAGGGCCTTCGCTATGAGCTTGGTTGTTCTCTTATCAAGTGGCTAATGAGTAGCTTTTGCTTGTACCTTAACAATGTTAAGTGAACCAAGTGACTATAAAAAAGCTCCTTCTGCCCAGCAATGGACATAGAACAAACCTGATCCTTCAAATGGTACAGTTGTTGTGGTTAGCGCTGAGCATGCAACTGTGACTACAGTTGGAGTCTTATGGTGTGTACTCAAAGCAGCTTTCCTCCATGTGGATATGTGGTTGAAGTTGTGCACAGGAAGGAAGCTGTCACGCACCACTTACATTGTGGATGCAAGGTCTTCTAGCAATTACAAAAATTCTAGATATATCTGCTGTGCATCAGAGATCAGCAACTAGTCCCAACTTTCCTGCTGGTGCAAATGCAAGGTGGCTGTGTAGTTTTGGAACTATACTGGATCACAGTAAATAAAATTTACTCTTTGTACCACACTGTAATCTCGCACACAGAGGTATTACAGGAAACAGAAGAATGTCATCTGTCTCATATGCATGCATCATACACATACGTGCCTCTGTCTGGTGCCAGCAAGAAAAAAAAATTGTCACAGTTTCAGTCACCCTGTTCTTATCTAATTTAGTGCGCAGTGGCCTTAGTGTGATCACCTACTTGCACTTTTCTTCTGGTTTTGGTGGTGTTCTTAATCTTTCCAGACTTTCTGTGGAAAATCAGATGGCATCATGATTTCTCTCAGCCTTGGGATAATCCTGACCTCACTTATATATTCAGCTCTCAAATCATCACTGAGTCCCTTGAATTTGTGAGTTGTAACAGCTGCCCTTTATATGACACATCCAGTCATATACCTCCTCTTTCAGACCCAGGTTTCTCTCTTTGTTCCAGCTAGAAAAGATCCACAGAGCATTCCCCTCCTGTCTAAACCCACTGCTCGCATGCTAAAGACAACTATTTCTCTTTGCAGTTTTCTTTGGTCTGCTTTCTCCTCCTGTTTAATTTGCCTTATCTTCTTCATTGATACCTTGATAACTCCCATTGCTGTTGTCCCGTCTCTGTTGGTTGTGGAAGCCCTGCTGCATTGTTTGCAGTTACTTCTTGCGGTCTGGAGTTCAGGTCCCTTTATGGCTGTTCCATACCTGTGCTGGTGTAAACTTTACAGCACCAACTCAAAGCTTATGTGTTGATGTCTGTTCTGGCTGTCTTGTAGGCTGTTGAGTTGTAGGTGGTGTGGGAGTCTGGGTTCCTCTCCTTCATATAAATTTTCATGGATCTTATTGTCACTTTCTTTAAAGTTGCTTGGAACCTGGACCCTCTTCTTCAAGTGGCTAAAACAGTCATCTCTCTGCTTCAGTTTTGTAGTCTGGACTACATTCCTTTTCCCCACCCCCATGTTAAGGATAACTCTCTTGCTCTTGCTTCCAAACCTTCACAACTGCTTCTTACTGCTTCTCTCAATCTACTCTTAGTCGTTGATACAAGCTTTTGTTTTCTCTGTTTATGAGAAGTCCGTGTGAATTGACCTCCCTTGGACTTTGTCTCCTGCACTGTAAGAAGCTCCTCTCTTCCTCTAGCCTCATGAACACACTATCTTGAAGAGGGGACAGTTATTTTTCCTGACAGACAATCAGCAAATGTTTGGGATTAACAGAGAGAATTTTCACTTACCTTGGCCCATGTCTGTTTCCCTGGTGCTATGGAAGTCTTCGCTCCTGCTTGCTCTGGTGGGCAATGCCTCTTTCCTTTTTCTTAAAAAAAAAAAAAAAAAAAAAAAAAAAAAAAAAATTAGTTTGCAAAGTTGTTTGCTCGATTTCTTTATGAGGGGTGGGACGTGATGTTGCCACCTCTCCTTCATCTTATCTTGCTGACCTGCTCTGCAGAAGTCGAAGAGTCTTTTTTATCTCTCAGACCATACTAAAGAGAAGAAGGGATGACTTTTCGTATCTACGGATGAGGTTAAATTCCACACTGGGATGTGAAGCCTTTAGAAACCTCTAGATGGCAGTTTCTTCATAGAGCTGTGCTTTAGGGACCCCAGAGTAGGAAATGCAAATTTTGGCTTGGCCCTAAACACTGTACAGAATGTGCTTCAAATATTACTGCTGAAGAGCTGATCTCCAACTGTGACTATAAGATGCTTAGATACTAAACCCTTCAAGAAGTAAACAAGTTGATACATCCAGAGCCCTTGTTCCTAACTTTAAAATGTGAAAACACTCCAAAATCAGAAAACTTGTTTACAAAAGTAAAAACCTAAAGAGCAGAATTTCTGTAGCATAATGCAGTTTATTCAAAACCATCACACTTTAGTCTTGGACTAAACAACATATCGTTCTTAAAGTTGCCATAAGATAAAAGGAAGTAATAGAATGGCGTGGGATGAAAGGTACCTTAAAGATCATCTACATCCAACCCCCATGCCATGGACAGGGATGCTACATGACTAGATCAGGTTATTCTGAGTAGTAAGGATGAGAGAGACAGCTTTGGAAAAGTTGTAGAGGAATATGAAGATACTGAGTGACTAGGCCATAAAATAGCAAGTAGAGATTAGTGTAGATATATGTAAAATAAGAAAAATGAATACAACCCTTATAAATGCACTGATGCATTTGGAGGTAGATGTAGTCATTCTAGAATGACATTTGGATTTGTATTAGATAGCTGATGTAAAATATGGTCCTATGTTCCTGGCATTTTTCTTATTATTTACTTGTTAAACGTTATGCTTCAGGTAAGCTAAAGACAAATTCTCTTAGTAAATTAAGGCTATGCTATAAACAAATACATGTAGATTCATTTTCATGGGATTTCTGACTGGTTGAAGTTAGAGAAGGGATCTCTGGAGGTCATCCTGTCCACCCCTCCAATGTGAAGCAGGGCCACCTAGAGCAGGTTGCCCAGGATCATGTTCAGATGGATTTTGAGCACCTCCAAAGTGGGAGAATCCACAACCTCTCTGGGCAACGTGTTCCGTTGCTCAGCCACCCTCACAGTAAAAGTCTTTCCTGATGTTTAGATGGCACCTCCTGTCTTTCAGTTTGCTCTCCGTTGCCTCTTGTCCTGTCACTGGGCACCGCTGAAAAGAGCCTGGCTCTATCTTCTTTATGTGCTCACTCCTACAAATGTTAAGATCTCCTTGAGCCTTCTCTTCACTAGGCTGAGCAGTCCTAACTCTCTCAGCCTTTCCTCGTATGTGAGATGCTCCAGTCCCTTCATCATCTTTGTGGCCCTTTGTTGAACTCTCTCCATTGTCCATGTCTCTCTCATGTCCGTGTCTCTCTGGTACTGGGGTTCCAGAACTGGACACAGCACTCCAGGTGTGGCCTTGACAGCGTTGAGTAGAGGCGAAGGATCTCCCAGTCTGCTGGCAGTGCTCTGCCTAATGTAGCCCAGGGAATACCAGTAGCCGCCTTAGCAACAAGGGCATATTGTTAACTACTTCAGTGTTTATTAGTAAGCATCGAGATCACCTCGTTTGCAGAAATCAAGAAAGCCTAAATTTAAGCACAATGTGGAGATGTTCCAGAAAAACCTGGGTTTTGGTGGTGGTGGTGGTTGATTGTTTGCACAGTTTTTCTATATCAATTATATATGACTTCAATATGTATTTTGAACTTCTTTTTATAAAGAGCTGAACACTATGTAATTACCGATTCATGGTCTTTAAGTGTACATATGTTGTAAGCCATTGATCATGCTCAAACCTCTGACTTTCTTTGCACAATCAGTGTTTTTAAATGCACCTTTGCAGAAATAATCTCTAATCCAAGAGAGTGGTTTAGATACAAGCTGGTATTTACCCCATCACCACTGCACTGTAGTGGCTGTGTGTACAGATAGTAACATTTCTTTGTCAAAACTGCAACTACAAGTAGTATTTACTAAGTAGGATGCATTGATGAACACGTAGTAAGTACTTCTCTGTTCTCAGTTTACAGTCCCTTTGTGTCTCTCATAACATCAAAAAGGGTCTAAAAAGGAAATCTGTTGAAAGGCATAACACACGAGAGAGACTTCCACAGGTAGTGCTCAAGTGCTCGTACTGGCATTCCATCTAGTGAGAATTTGCAATCTGAAATTGGATACCTAAGATCTGGGAGAAGTCCAAACCTATACTTGTTTCTAAAATGCAACAAAAGCATAAGCTTGTACAACTTGCCAGACTGGATCAGAATGGAGGTTCATCCAGCCTAATCTTGTCTCTGACAGTACGCAACACCAGATGCCTCAGAAGAATGTACATGAGCCCCGCCCCAGCAAGCAAAGCATTGTCTTGTAGTAGGTGATTTTCAAGATTAAGTATGTCATGATAAACAAGATTTAATTTCACCCTGAGATTTCTTGTTAATGATAAAAATTCTTTGTAGAAGTTTCCTCCTCTCTACTTTGCAATCTAACATGTCATTAGTGGGAATCAGAAAAACACCAGATGCTATAATCTCAGTTGAGCTGCCTGTTTTATGCTGTTTTGTTTCTGCACGTGATAAGGTTGCTATAACATACTGCATGATGGTGACTGAAAATCACTTTCCAGCTGTGCATTTACTAACCTGAATCTCACTGATTGTTATATTCTCATCTGTTTTGCCTTGTTTGGAACCCTCTGAAGCTCCTCACATTTTTTTGGTCCTGATTTATTTAAATGGCTTTATGTCATGTGCAGATTTTCTAGTCTTTTTTCACTCACTTCTTGCATTGCTTGTTCTGAAGGACTTCATTCAGGTCCAGGCAAGCGTTGTGACAGTTCTGGGTCCACTATATCCCTGAAATGCTCACAGAAATCTAAAGGAAAACTGATCTATAAAATCCTTTGGAAATATTCAGTGTTATTTTCTTTATTGTGCTTAGGGATTCTTGGTGTTTTGAAGGTCTAAACAAGAGTCCATAAAATTCTTTATCATTTTTATTACCTTTAGAAATGGAACTTTAAAATGTTACATTAGCATCTTTAATGACTAGGTCTCTTTCTGAATGTAGTGATTGAAAAGTACGTACAGCTAAGTTTACCTTTCATTGTGTCTACATTTGTACCTATGATGTGGCACATCAATTAATTAGATGTGAATTTTAGTCTTGGGTGTATTTCTTGTTGCCTTAGAGCAACAAGAAATGCTTATGTTGTTCCTTTTATTTTGTCATTTATATGAACAGCATCCTCCACATTCAGAACACAAGTGTGATAGATACCATATGCTAAAGCATAGAATCATGGAGTGGCTTGGGTTGGAAGGGCCTTAAAGATCATTTAACTTCAACCCCTCTGCCACAGATAGTGATGCCACCCACTAGATCAGGTTGGCCAAGGCCCCATCCAGTCTGGCCTTGAACACCTCCAGGGATGGGACATCCACAAATTCTCTTGACAACCTGTTCCAGTGCCTCACTAACCTTACAGTGAAGAGTTTCCTCCTGTCTAGTCTAAATCTATCCTATTTTAGTTTAAGACTGTTCCCCCTTGTCCTGTCATGATCTACCTGAGTAGAGTCCTTCATCTTTTTTATAAGCCCCCTTTCAGTACTTAAAGTTTGAAATGAGGTATCCCTGAGCCTTCTCTTCTCCAGGCTGAACATCCCAGCTCTCAGCCTTTCTAGCAATGCAGCTTTGGTGAGAGCCAAAGCAGTCAAGTGATTTGAAACTACCAACTTTGGCTCTTTCAGGTTTAAAAAACAAATAATCTGTGAAAGGGTAGTCATTTAACTGACGCTTGAATCAAGGCCCGGGAAACTTAGCAAGGGAACAATTGTGAGGAGAAACATTTACTGTCCTGGAGAACATTCAAAACCAATTCAAAATATGAATGTGTGATTTCAGCAAGTGTTTACTTTTTTTTTTTTTTTGAGTCATCATGTTGGAATGAGGGCTGGGTCAGCCTCTTTTGTATGTTCAGATTAAAAGAGCATATTTATAAGGAAAAATACCGATAATTAGCCATATTTTACTCCACTAGCTCCTATTGACTTCTGACTACGGGCTGTGTAAAGATTGTAGGTTTGGCAAAAGGTCTTTAAATCCTCCCATGGGCACTTAAACATTTTTCTCTGTAATAATTATTAGTTTATTTGAATGGTTGTCTTATGTCTAACACAGGAAGAATGTGTGTTGTACATCACAGGACAGATAAATCTGCATTTTAAAATTGAAACTGAACTGGGTGCAGTTGCTGTGGGCAGTTAATGCTGATACCTGAAATCCCAGTAACCCCAAGCATTGCAAAGTTTGGAACTTTGCACAAGCTTTAGTGCTGATTTTCCTTTGAACAGCAGGCTTCCTTTACAAACAGTTAATTAGGATGAGGCCATATCAAGCTCCTGTGACAAACACGGTCTCAGATAATTTCCTGGCTTGTATTTAAGAAGAAATACTGAAGGACTTTGAATAACTTATAATTTTAGCTGTGTATTGAATGTTATGGCAATCTGTATTATTGCAAGATTGAATGAGATTTTGTGAATGTAATCACTACCTCCAGGCCCCTTCTGAAATGAATGGAGAATTGTATACCCTGACTTTCCAAGATCCTGCAAGACTTAATTGATAGGTGCAAAAGCTACCTATTCCCTCTTCTGTGCCTGGAGAAATTCAAACTCCTCTGTGCGTGTGTTTGTGTGTCAGTCTCTCTAAGCTGACTGGTTTCAACACGCTTCAGGAACCTTTGTAAGTATACGTGTGGGTGGCAAAGTATTGTAATTGATGTAATAAAACAGAAGTTGACATGTTTTGAAGATTTTGTTGGCTTCAAATCAAACAAATTT